TCAAATAAATTATCTAAAGAGCTGCCAACATCTAATCCTATACCAGTAGGTGCATACATTAAACATATATAATTGATGCAGCGCTATTTAAATGAAGCAACAACACTCATATGTGACATATAGTGCAAAAATCATACAATAATGGTGGACCTAGATAAGGACCATACCTAATGATAAATGCACATAGGTGACCCTGATCCACATGGGGATAGTAAAACATTGTGACCCCTGGTACCCAGATTGGGACACAATCAAAGTCAAGTGAATCCCTATGAAGGGATCAATGGCGGGTGCACCGTTCAAAATGGTGAACATACACATAAGGTTATGATAAATATTGGTGTCAAAAGTCCATTATACTGTGCAGCAATCTTCCTGGTCATGCAAGATGTGGGTACCAGCACACCATCAATGTGATCCCAAAAAATGGCTGCAGTGGCCTCTCGCCTCCACTTTGCGACCCTGCTGGGTCACAAAGCATGTAACAATCCCCTCTGGATCCCTCAGAGTAATGGCTCCTATAACCAGGTGATGCAGGCAGTCGTCCAGGTATCAGTGTTCCATTGGACCAATCAGCAGGTATAAAGGTACTCTTAATAGCACAAAACGCTCATATGCCCATATAACGAAGAGAACAATCTCCATAGTGTAATACTGCTTTAATGGCAATAAACTAAGCCAACAATGCAAACTCACATTAAAGAAGCTTGTATCAAGGTAGTTCCAATGGGCTGGATGTAGAGCATGGCCAAAAGGTGTACAAAGATAGCGTTAAGCCGGAAATGCATCACCACGCTAATGATGTCGACGCATTGCGTTGACCTCGTGACTTCATCAGGACGCATTTCCGGCGTAACGCCATCTTTACATACAAGCTTCTTTAATGTGAGTTTGCATTTTTTGGCTTACTTTATTGCCATTAAAGCAGTATTACACTATGGAGATTGTTCTCTTCGTTATATGGGCATATGAGCGTTTTGTGCTATTAAGAGTACCTTTTTACCTGCTGATTGGTCCAGTGGAACACTGATACCTGGATGACTACCTGCATCACCTGGTTATAGGAGCCATTACTCTGAGGGATCCAGAGGGGATTGTTACACACTTTGTGACCCTGCAGGGTCGCAGAGTGGAGGCAGGAGTCCACTGCAGCCATTTTTTGGGATCACATTGATGGTGTGCTGGCACCCACATCTTGCATGACCAGGAAGATTGCTGCACAGTATAATGGCCTTTTGACACCAATATTTATCATAACCTTATGTGTATGTTCACCATTTTGCACGGTTCACCCGCCATTGATCCCTTCATAGGGATTCACTTGGCTTTGATTGTGTCCCAATCTGGGTACCGGGGTCACAATTTTTTTACTATCACCATGTGGATCAGGGTCACCTATGTGTTTTTTATCATTCGGTATGGTCCTTATCTAGGTCCACCATTATTGTATGATTTTTGCACTATATGTCACATATGAGTGTTGTTGCTTCATTTAAATAGCGCTGCATCAATTATATATGTTTCTGTAAAATGACTGTTAGTCTTCAGCAGGACCTATGTTCTTGTTTTACTAATTTTGTCACATAGGTCCAAACTGTTTAAATTTCTCTGCATTGCTGTTGATGCACAATCTAGCAGATCTAGTCAGGCGCACCCCCTCTCCTCATCCCAAACACTGTGTGCAAGTCACTAGTAGTGCGGAGGAAGAGTGTGGCTAATGCTCGTCTATGCCAGCAAAAAGCACTGGATGAGATGAGCAAAAAGCACATTTCCAGTTACATAAAAAGTTATTTTAAGGGCTCTTTCACACCAGCCCCGTTGGGAGTTGGACAGCATTGCCAATGCAGTTGCAATGAAGAGACATGACAGATTGCCTTATATCTCTTTGCTTCAGTCCACAACAATGCACTGTTTTGGTGTGTGCTATAAAGAAAAAAAGTAGAACATGTTGCATTTTTGCGCAATGCATTCAGACATGCTGTAACACATCACAATGTGCTGCTGTGTATAGAGTCAGACTGTAGAGGATATAGTTTTAAAAAAAGCCAAGCACGGCAATACGTTGTAACAACAATGCACACCAGCAAGAACACATTTTGGGCACTTTAACATGAGCCTACTAATCTGAGTGAGCTCAAGACATTCCAAGCAAAAATCTGTTAACATCAACATATGGCAGTACTAGCTATGAACAGAAAAGAATGCAAGATCTAAGTTGGCCTTTGAAGTATACTTGTGCTTTGATCATAATGGGCAGTAATAGGACCTTCCTGTATGGGGGGGGGGGGAAGGTGTTAAAAATCTTGCTCCCCCTCTGCTGTGTTCCAGCCTGTGTAGGTAATGCCTACTACTTTTGTGTATGGGGGGAACACATAACAGGCCTCTTGCCTTCCTGCCATGCACCATTCTGTGCCTGAGCAGACAATTATCAGGGTTTCCTTTTTACTCAGTGGATTTTTCATTTTCTTGTACAACTACAGTTAATATTATGTGAAGGAATACCCCAAGGTCAGTGGAGAACACCGAAAGCACATTGACATCATATGAAAAATCATATTCTTTTGTTAATAATCCATGAGAAACCCAAAGCACCAAGGGTAAAAACCGAGCCCTGAACTAATAAACATGGCAGGCGATCTTGTTGCTAAAGTCCACTATAGCAGAATTCAGCCTACTAGAATCTACTACAACTGATGTATCTCCTTTTGGGTGGACTGACTGTAAAGCTGCTTATCAGCTGGCATGAATGTGAGAATTTATTCACTTTTACCTGTGATTCATGCTTATATTTCAGTGGTACCTCAGCCACTGATCACGTGTCTGTATGTTTTACCCATTTGCGTGCTTTTCTTGGCATTAGTGGTAGTGCTTGCTTATGGGCACCGCTGAGGGTGGCTAAAGCTTGCTGCTTGGCTTTAAAGTAGATCAGCATTGTACTCTAAGGCTGGCTTACTAGCTACTGTATACAAAAAGACATTGACCACTTTGTATTGCTAATGTTCCTTGACAACACTTCTCCAGATGTCTGCATTTCTTAATGATGAGAGTCCATAATTTACCTAATTTACTTCCTCCTCAATGACCCACATTCTCTTGTACATCTTGCACAAAATATTTATATATTATAAAGTCAAACAAAATTTATAATTTTTTTCTTTTTGACTAGCGATAGCTTGTGTTTTTGTAGACAAAAAGGTCAAATTTTATTATGAGAATTGTCTCTTTTCTGACTTTTGATAGTTGTTGAAACTTTTTAAGGAGATGTGATGCATATAGTGCATGAAGGGCAATGTACAACATACAGTAAAAGAAGTATTGAACATATCACCATTTTTCTCAGTAAATATATTTCTAAACGTGCTGTTTGACATCAATTTTTCACCACACGTCGGGAACAACCCATGCGATTCATACATACAAAGAAAGCAAAACAAATAATTTTGGAAACTAGGTTATGTGTAATAAAATGGAATGACACAGGGAAAAAGTATTGAACACATGAAGAAAGGGAGGTGCAAAAAGGCATGGAAAGCCAAGACACCAGCTGAAATCTATCAGTAATTGGCAAGCAATCCTGCCCCTTGTCAGTGAAAATTAATATCAGCTGGTTCAGTCTCAACTGATGGCCTATAAAAAGGTGTCTCATTACCAAGGTGTCACAAAAAACATCTCGTGATGGGTGAAAGCACAGAGCTCTCAAGACCTTCACAACCTTATTTTTCAAAACATACTGATGGCATTGGTTACAGGAGGATTTCTAAACTTCTGAATGTTCCAGTGAGCACTGTTTGGGCCATAATCCAGAAGTGGAAAGAACATAATTTCACCATAAACCAGCCATGACCAGGTGCTCCTCGCAAGATTTCTGACAGAGGAGTGAAAAGAGTTATCATAAGAGTTGTCCAAGAGCAAAGGACCACTTGTGGAGAGGTTCAGAAAGACCTGGAATTAGCAGGTACAATTTTTTTCAAAGAAAACAATAGTAATGCACTCAGCCGCCATGGCCTATATGCACGCTCACCATGCAAGACTCCATTGCTGAAGAAAACCATGTTGAAGCTTGTTTAAAGTTTGCTGCACAACATTTACACAAGCTTGTGACATACTGGGAGAATATAGTCTGGTCAGATGAGACCAAAATTGAACTCTTTGGATGCCATAATACACACTAAGTTTGGAGGTCAAATGACACTGCACATCACCCCAAAAACACCATACCAACCGTGAAGCATGGAGGTGAGAACATCATGGTGTTGGGGCTGTTTTTCAGCATACGTTACTGGCGAACTTCATGTCATTGAAGGAAGGATGAATGGGAAAATTGTATCGAGATATTCTTGATAAAAATCTGCTGCCATCTACCAGGATGATGAAGATGAAACTATGGTGAACATTTCAGTAAGACAATGATCCCAAACACAAAGCCAAGGAATCTTTCAATTGGTTTCAAAGAAAAAGAAAATAAATACATTTCAGTTATCGTTTTTCAATACGTGTTTTTTTTTTGTTTTTTTTTTTTTTTTTCTTTTTTCCCTGTGTCATTCCGTTTGTATTACACATAACTTAATTTCTGAACTTCTTTGTTTTGGGTTCTTTCTATGTATGGATTGCTCCTCTAGAAAAACATATTTACTGAGAAAAATATTAATGTGTTCAATACTTATTTTACCCCTCTGTATGGTGTTTTTTTTTTTTTTTTTGTTTTTTTTTTTTTTCACAGAATGAAAAAAAAAAAAAATGTTTTCTCCTGTAAACCGTAAAACCCAACTGTAACAATACTTGGTATGCACCTATTTATCCATACCAGAGGTAGATACTGACTTCTGATCCACCAGAGCAGATTTTTGTCTGGTTGCAAAGCTTAATTTCCTGTTCTACAAATGCACTGTCTTTCACATAGAAATATAAAAAAAAAAAAGGAACACTAGCAATACTTTAAATGCTTTTGTGCATTTGTCTTGGGTTTGACTGACAATAGCACTTTTTTTCTTATTTTGCAGGAAAAAACAAGCTGAATCCTTCAAACACAAGCCAAGGACAAAGTGAACGAAGCAGCAGAGAAGGTTCAAGTCAGAGAGTGCCTCGCCAACCAAGTGCCAGCCGCATGCAGAAAAGCAGCAGCTCAGGAAAAAGCAGTGGAGGGAGCAGTACATAGCAGCTGCTGTTGTGGTCTGTGTTACTGCAGTTATCACAGTGCACACCTTGGCCCTGTGTCTACTTGTGCTATAATGAACGCTGCTTCTCTCCCCGCAGTAACCTCCGCAGTAACCTCATCAGAGTAGTAAAGAGTTAGACATGGATATTTCCCTGAATGTAACCAGCCTGACATTTTACAGATAAAGCTAGTGCTGTAGATAATATTTCTGACTGATATTGTTACTTTGTCAGTTTTACATGCAGTTGACACGGTTTGCAGCAAAAACTCCAGTAGGCCAGTATTAATAACACCCTTAATTACAGTTATGTATTCATGATCACATCATTAATGTATTTTTTAATATAGCTAGTATATGTACCTGAATCTGTGTTTACATCAGGTTCCTGTAATCTCCAGTACAGGAACACTTGGACTGGTAGGAGATGAAGCTCTTACAGTCAGTCAGATCTCTATTGATTTTTGATTGTGCTATAAGGCAGGCCATAGATGATGCGTTTCTTTTCTGCAACCATGGGATGCATGAAATAAAATAGCTTGATTTCCCGCCGCAACAACACAATCACTGTTGATGGAAATCCCTCCCATGAAGCTATTGAGTTCTCCAGTGGGGAGCAGTGGTGAAGGCGAGCTCACGGGAAGCTGTCCTTGTCAGGTGAACACAATGAAAAATTGCTAGCAGCAATAGCTGCTGACGATAATCTCATGCTAAAATCTGACATGCTGGTTGTACCAAAGTCCGAGCAAGGGATCGACTTGAATACAATCAGCCTGCCCATAGATGGATCGAATTTTGGCTAGTTTAGCAGGGACCAGCTGAGATTTGATCCATCTATGGCTGGCCTAATCTTAAAACTCATGCACATGTTTACAGGCAACCCTCATTGGTGTTCTGCTGCTCCTTTATGGTCCAGTCACAATAGGGAGGAAAGGTGATTTAAAGTAGAGCTATAGGCAATTTTTTATTTTTTTCAATTTGGATGGAGTAAAGGAGGATCAGTGTTTATTTTTGTTTTGTTGGTTTTTTTTCGCCATCTGTATCCCATTGTGGAGGATTCTCTTCACTTCCTGTCCCAGAGCCAAACAACCAGAGAAGGGATTTCCCTGCAAATTATGGGAAATTCTTGGGGATCCCCAGGTCACCAGAACTAGTGTCCCCATTAGAGGATTTTCTTTCTATTACTTTTCTGGGGACAACCCAAAGTTAGGGGTTTTTCTTTTACTTTCATGTTCAATGATAATGGTAAACAGGACAAATGAAGAGGGCACAGATGGCAATAACAACTGACAGTTCTATTCTCTCTCCACTCTATCCAAAACTGAAAAAAAAGAGTCTTGCCTTTAGTTATACATTTAAGGAAATGCCTAAAAAGTGGATCTTCATATAGTCACCCCCTTGGAAGATGATTTCAGGTCGAAAGATATAGAAATGTGAACATCAAATATACCTGCAGCTGAATGAGCAAGGTAGGGTATACATGTGGTTCTATAACTGACACAATCCTGATTTTTGCCCTGAGATCTTTTTTCATAATAGATATATGGGGGTTGTTATTACTGATTGTTTTTGAGCTTGTATCCTCCAGGGCTGTCTTCTTTACCTTTTTTTTTTTTTTTTTTTAATCAGCGAGTGGGAATACCGATACTTGTGCCCAAATACTCGCCGATACCTTTTGTGGTAATAATTGTTCCCATATAAAATGAATGGCTCAAATCGCACTGCAAAGAGTCACATGTGATTTGAACCTGGCCACGCCCCATCAAATGCGGTGTGATTCCTGTCCCGAATCACATGTGGTTTCTCTGTGGGTGTGGTGCGGTTTGCAGTGTGATTTCAGCAATTTGAGATTTTGATTGATACAAAATGAATGGCTCAAATCGCACAGCACCTGCAGGGAAACCATTATGTGATTTGGACAGATATCACACTGCATTCCTGTTCAAATCACATGCGATTCTTTGTTGTGCGGTTTGAGCCATTCATTTTGTATGGGCTCAAATTGCCGCGCAAAGGTATCGGTTTCAGGAATCGGAGCATTTGCACAAGTACTCGTGCAAAAGCTCCAAGTATCAGTATCTGTGCAACTCTACCTAATATTTATGAGCTTGTCCCAGGCAGTGACTTACTAAAAAATAAAAGGATAAATGTTCACCATGCATGTTACAATTTGATTGCACTGTGTTTGTACACTCTAATTTAAAGAAAACTATGTAATATGAGGACCTACCAAAATTCTCCATTCAGTTTGTATCCATCCATGCCGCGCCTTGAACTACATCGTTATTAGACCTTAGGGCTTGTTCACACTTGTGCGGAGAGTGGCATTTTTTTTTTTTTTTGCACTAGAAAACTGCCAGTGTCTGCAAGGACATAGAGAAAACAGTTGTTTTCTGTGTGCCCTGTTCCTACTTAAACAAAGCATATAGTGCCAGCACACTATGAATCTTCAAATGGTGCCTAAAAAGTTAAATGAAAGCAATTCTAGCACGATGTTGCAACGTTTTGGGGCCATGCAGAACCCCTCCATTTTGCATACGGTTTGCTGTGATGTGATCACTTTTAATGGACTTTTTGGACACTATATTTTGAAGATCAACGGTGAGCTGACAGTATGTGCTTTATTTTGGTGTTGATACCGTTCCCCAGCCGGTTATTGCTGAAGCTCCCATTTGTCTTAAGCCAGGAATGTGTGCAAAGGGAATATTTTACTGTTCACACTTAAATCAGCCTTGGATAAACTGATGTGTGTGTGAAATCTGCAACATGTCTACATTTTTCCTTCCTGCACTGCAGCTTACCCGCAGCTTCATTTGATCTTGGCTGCAGTGCATATATATGAATGGAATGTCACCTGTGACATTTCCATAAAGTTTTTTTTTTTTTTGTTTGTTTTTTTTTTTGGGGGGGGGGGGGGGGCTGCTGCACTTTAAAAGCACAAGGCACCACTGGCCAGAACTGACATTTCCTTCATGGTAAACGGCAGCATCTTACTGTGCATGAAGTGTGAGCCAGCCCTAAAGGAGTTTGTACAATCCCATTGTAACCTGTATAGTGAGCTGAAGGATAATACCTTTTTGTAATCTGCTCCTTGAAAAACAAGTCACCAGTGGCAGTTGCGATATTTTATCTCCCAACCCCCCCACCCCCCCCCCCCCCCCCCCCCCCCCCCCCCCCCCCCATTGTATCCATTTTGTAAAGCATCTCCTACAGCTGTCCATGTTTTCTTAGAAATAAACTAGTTTTAGGTACTGTCTAAGAATACATTTAAAGATTCTTTGTATCCATTATGCTACTTAATCTAGTATCTCAGTAAACTGTATACAAGGCTGTTGTAGATTTACTATGAGCATTCAAAGCAGTTGCAAAGGCTTTTTTTTTTTTCCCTTCATAAATACAGGTAATGGGAAGAGTCTGTATCATCCAGGACATACCTTACCGTTGTATATAGGTAAGGGGGAGAATTCTGTATCAACTAGCATAGCCCTCGCTGTCAGTCACAGCCAGTGAGCCAATAAAGGAGAAAGCGAGGGTTGGGGCCAAGACCTAGGGTCTGTGTCTTATGGATGCATCCAGTGGGACTCGGGATCAAGCACGCACCAGAGCCCCCATAGCAAGCAACTTGCTAATGGGGGCACTGGCCAAGCAGGAGGTGCCTAGAGCGCTGGTGAGGGGTCAGATAAGAAGAGGATTAGGGCTGCTCTTTGCAAAACCATTGCACAGAGCAGGTATGACATGTTTGTTATTAAAAAAAAAAAAAAACCTTTAATCTCACCAGTGATAAAACTGTTTTAAACTAGGTTTTTTATAATTAACAATCTTCTTATGCCACAAAACAGTACTTCACTATGCTTGGATGTCTAGGAAGACATAGGCCTGGCCCTAGGATTCAATGGTCTAGACACTTCCCTTCCTGCATATTGAACACATAAGCCTTTACCACTTGCTTTAATCTGTCAACTATGTGCTACAGGCTAAGATTTTAGTTATATTGCTAGGAAGCATCCTCGCCTACAGTAATACTGATGTCTCTTGCTAATGGTATCTGCAGTAGTTTTTGTCTACTTTTTTTTATTCCCAGGATTTGCCTGTCTCTACGCACTATATCAGTAACAAAGGTAGCTCAAGATTCTGCATATGTTGAAATATATGCGGCAGATTTTAGATTTGCACAGCAAATTTTTTCAAAGAGCATTTGGAAATCGTTTTTTTTTTTTTTTCTTATTGTAGGTACCTAAGCTAGAATAGTAATAGTAAAACTTGAACATTTACTGCAGGTAGGATAATGTGGTTCCTGCAGAACTATATTCTAGTGGAAAGCTAGCTCGTTCAGATTGTTCTTTGCTGTTACCTCCATTGTTGTGCAGTGTGTGATGATACTGGTATCTTAGCTTTGTGTTATTTAGCCAAAGCCTTTGAAAACCAAGTCACCACATCCATTGTGCATGACAAAGCCTTACTGTATATCATGTTAAAAAAATGATGTCTACCCCCCCCACCCCCCCATTGATCCATTTTCCTGAAAAGCATCTACAGCTGTGTCCATGTTTTCTTAGATATAAACTAGTTTTAGGTACTGTCTACAGAATACATTTAAAGATTCTTTGTATCCATTATTGGAACAAGTATCAAAACAGAGGCAGAAAAAGCATTCCGTTATGACATAATGTCACACAAAACCAGTTGGCAAAAATGGGCTGGACAAAAGTTTATTGGCACCCTTTAACTTAATATTTGGTTGCACACCCTTTGGAAAACATAACTGAAATCAGTCGCTTCCTTAACCGTCAATATATCTGAGGGGGGAGGATTTGGTACCACTCTTAGCCTTTCAAACAGTCAGTCACAGTCTCCAGTGAGCCAATAAGGAGACCTTTTCCCAAGGGTTGGGGCCAAGATCTCCTAGGGTCTGGGATTTATGGATGCTCAGTGGGACTTCGGGAATCAAGCACGCTTCCAGAGCCCCATAGCTGAGCAACTTTTTGACTATGTTTGGGGGCAT